AGAGAGAGAGAGAGGGAAGGAGAAGGAAGGAAGGAAGGAAGGAAGGAAGGAAGGAAGGAAGGAAGGAAGGAAGGAAGGAAGGAAGGAAGGAAGGGAAAGGAAAGAAGAGAAAAGAAAACAAATGAAAGGCTGGATAATTATGGATCTGATTTTAAATTGAACAGACAGACATACCTGCATTCATGCAGCAAACAACCCGGTAAAGCTTTTAAAGATCTTTCTGATTCAGGTTACTAGCTCCTAGAGAAGGCATTTTCCACAAAATTCCAGCACATAATATCAAAAATATGCAAAGCTCTAGAGGGCTGCCACCATGAGTCATCACGACACAGTCTGGAAAGAGCTGGCAAAGACTGCCTTTTATTTTTATATGAAAGGATATGTTTATTTCAGAAATGCAGGACTGCTGAACAATTTGAAAATAAAGGCTCTTTACTGCATTAATAGAATAAGGGCCTTAAATGATGACTTTGATAAAATTCATTAAAAAACATCTGATACATCCATTCATGATTAGAAAAACTGTTCTTCGAAAGCTCCAAATGAGAGATGTGTTTCCTTCATATGACACCACAAGTATCATGCGTTGTGGGGGGAAAAACCATCAAAAGCTTTGAAAACAAAATCAGACAAGCTCGTGAGCATTGGAATGTAGTTCCTAGCCAGCAGACAGGGCAAGAACGTATCACTGACAATCCTCTGTGCCTAGCAAGGAAGTAATGATGCCTGTGTGGAAACTCTTGGATGCAAAAGGTTGGCAAGGGCCAGGGGGAAAATGTCAATATTCAAAATCAGCTGTGTTTTTATACTCCATCAAAAAATAATGGAGAAATGAAATTCCAAGCGAAACCATTTTCAGTGGCAACAAAAGCCACCAAATACTTAAAATGAAATCTACTATAAGGGTGTAAACCCTTCTCTACAGGAAGAGTTATAAAATAACGTTAATATTCTCAAGACAAATGCTAGGAAAGACAGACTGGAAAACTTTATATTGCAAAATGTCAATTTTCCATGAATCTGCTCTGTTTGGTCATTTCTATATTGTGTCTGTAGAGAGAGAGTAGCTATATTATTCTTTTGAACTGGTTTACTTTTGTTTTGAGACAGCCTCTCCCTCCCTATATAACCATCGCTGGTCTGCAACTTGCTATATAGATCAGGCTGGCCTCTAATTTGTAGTGATCGTCCTGCCTCTGCCTACTGAGTTCTAGGATTACGGGTATGAGCCACCACAGCCAGTGGGCTTCTTTTTTGTTTTATGAAAGTGATTTTAACAGTTGACGGTAACAGTGCCACGATTGTCAGTAGTGAGGTCCTTCTATGTCCACCGATGAAAATGGCATTTGGAATAATCGATGGCTTGTCTTGTGCTAATAGTCTGTCTGGCCACCTTTTCTTTTTCTTGCTTTTTAAAAACTTTCAGATTGTTTATTTTGGGGTGGGGCACATGCACCATGGCATGAATACGGAGGTCAGAGGACAACTTGTGAGAGTCAGTTCTCTCCTTCCACCGCGTGGGGCTTGGGGATCCAACCTCAGGTGTTCAGGCTTGGCAGCAAGTGCCACCTTATTTTTCCTTTTTTCAAAAGTATAAAAATTATAAATAACTTTATGGAAAGCTTTTAGAGGTATTCTCTGGGAAATCAAGGATTGGAAAAGCCAGAAACAAAGGGCCAATGGGTCATAGAAGGCGGTCTACTACTAGATTTGGGGCTCACCTCCTAGCAAGAAGTACCAGATTCCCTGTCGTCGATAGCATGAACAGGCAGTTGATCTCCTCCAGGGTGCAGTTCACATTTTCTTCGGAGTGGCTCAAAGAGCGAAGATGCCTGCTAAAATGGGTCTTTATATCTAGAAGGGAGAGTTTGCCAAGATTGCCTGATTTGGAACAGGGCAGAGCTCCAAATGTATTGAGTTTGCCTCTAGCCCTTGCCAAAGTTGTATCAGGCTCTTTTCAAAGCCATTTTCATTCCATTTTACCAGCTCTGTAGGTCACACACACACAGTGGCACTTTGGGCTTTTGTAATCAGAAAACAGAAGTGCCATGCTGCCCCGGCAGGGCTCCCTTACGGTGCTCAAGTTAGATGAGCCCACGCCTTGGCAAGGAGCCCCTTCTGGTGTGGTGGAGGATTGGAGAAGAGCCCTTCCTTGAGTACTAGTGTAAACAGTCCTGCTGGGATCCAATCGGCCAACATAAAGCTCTGTGGAAGAGGCTGGAAGGGTCTTCTTCCTTTCCACATTTCTGATGCATGCCAAAGCACGGGATAGACTGTGCTCTAGTTGACAAAAGGGTTACCTCTGACCCCTCACCTCCATCACCCTCTTATTTGTTCCTTCACCTGCCTTCCTCCTGTGTTACTTGAAGAAATTTCATAATTCCATGTTGATTTAGCTATAGTGTTCTTTGGATATATTTTGTTTGTTTGTTTGTTCCTTTGTTTCAGATAGGGTTTCGGGTGGCCCAGGTTGGCCTTAAATTCATGATGTAGTCCAGGATGACCCTGAGTGTCTGATCCTCCTGGCTCTACTTCCCAAGAGGTGGGATTACACCTGTATCCCACAATGCCTGTTCCGTTTCTCTTGCTCTTGTTCTTATTCTTGCTCTGTCTTCCTCTTTCTCTCAAGAAACGGACGTGTCTCGTAAACTCCAGGTTCAAGTCATTTTCCTGATGCAGCTTCATGAGCAGCTGGGACTACAAGTTCATGTCACTGTGCCCTGCTGGGTATATCACTGCATGGTACTTTTAATATCTAAGTATTACATTTTATATACACAAGTTAGTCTACTGGGATCCCCATTTTAACAGTTTGAATGAAGTGTAGAAATCTTACCTCTTTTTAGAACTCAACCTTCCTCCATTTATAATATAATTGTGTTAAAGATTTCCTCTACATATAAGAACTACAAAAGCCAGTGCTATAATTATTGCTTTAGCCGTCAAACATGATTTAGAAAGACCAAGAAGAGAAAAAAAATGTTGATTGTACTCACCCTCCCTTTTACTCCGCCATTCGTCCTTCCTTCCTGATAGACTAAGACTTCTCTTGTCATTTATGTTTATCAAGATTATCATGCTTATTTGGTTATTATTTGCTATGCTGGGAAATCAAAGCCAGGGTGGTGTGTCTTAGAAAAGTGCTCTACCACTGAGCCCTACCAGGTTGGGTTTTTTTTGTTTTTGTCAAAAAACTTTTCTTCAGACATTCATTAGGCTATATATGTCAGCAGGAAATTCTCTTCAGTATTTTGGGTTTTGTCATAGGAGAAGATATCTTGCTTTCCCTTTCATTCCTGAAGACTATGTTTGCATAGTCACTGTCTAAGGCACTGTCTTTGTTCTTGTTCTCATGCAGGGTCTCACCATGTGGCCCAGGTTGCTTTCTGACTTGAGAGCCTCCTGCCTCCGACTGCCAATTGTGGGATTACACACGAGACCGACCATGCCGGACTAAATTTCTTTTCAGCACTTGAAAAACATGGCAGTCTTCTACTGTCTTTGCTTTCTATTTTTTTTTCTATTTTTCCTCTATAGATAACATGTTTTCCTCTGGATGCTTATACTATTTTGTATTAATTTTCAGAAGTTTGGCTCTGATAAATTACAGATTTTTGTTGTTGTTTATCCTGCTTAATTTAATTTTTCTCAGGTGTGCCAGGAAGTGGTCCATGCAGAGGCAGGTGGATCTCTTTGAGTTTGAGGCCAACCTAATCAATAGATCGAGTTCCAGACAAGGCTACACAGAGAAACCCTGTCTCAAAAAACAAAAACAAAACAAAACAAAACAAAAAACCAAAAAACAAACAAACAAAAAATTCCCTTGGGTTCATTTTTGTTTGTTTCTTGTTTTTCTCTACGTGCAACAGCTCTGGCTGTCCTGGATCTCACTTTGTAGACCAGGGTGGTCTCGAACTCACAGAGATCTGCCTGTCTCTGCCTCCCTAGTGCTGGGATTAAAGATGTGTGCCACCACTGCTAGCTCCCTCAGGTTCTTAAATCTGTAGGTTTCTCTTTTGCCAAATTTCAGAAAATTTTAGACATTAATTCTTTGATTACTATTTTGGTTCCATCTTCTTTCTCTCCTGAAACTCTCATGATCAAAAAATTAGATTTTAAAAATATTTTCTCCATATCCCTGAAGATCTGTTCTTTTTTCTCAGTCTATTTTCTCTCCTTGTTTAAACAAAGTAAATTATATTCTAACCTCCAATTTTGATTCTCTCCCCACCCTTTAGATTCTGCTACTGAGTCTAATTATTTTTACCTGTATGCTTTTCAGTTCAAAAAACTGCATTTGAGTTTTCTTGAGACTTTCCTCCCCATTTGTTTCAAACAAGTATGTTTATCGTTTGCCAATGCATTTTTTTAAATGACAGCTGCTTTTAAATTCTTGTTAGTTAATTCTAACAATTCTGTCATCTTAGTGAATTGTCGAGTCCTACTCAAGATGAGAACTCCCCGATTCTTAGTATGGAGAGTAATTTTTTTTAATTGACCTTATATTAGTCAATACTATGTTCTAGCAGGTCTCCACAGATGCTGCTCAAACTACCAGGCGAAGGGAAGGGAAGGGTTAAGTTCCAGATTCTGCAATCAGCGTTTGCTGACGTGTGCGCACGCGCGCGCCTGCACCTGCGCCTGCGCTCCCGGACTGCGTGTGACTGCGGGCCGGGGCGGGGCGGGCCGGGGCGGGGCGCTGGCTCCACACTGGGCCTCCGCCGCCAGCCGCCAGTCGCGGGGCTCTGCGGCCTCGCCATTGCCTCCAGTAAGGCGGTGGGAGCGGGGAACTCGTCGGCGCTGCGAGCCGGGTCAAAGTTCGGGCTCTGGGCTGGGTGACGTCAGCGGAGGGGCGGGGCGCCACGGTCCTCGGCGGAGAGGAAAGTCCGGGCTGTTTCAGTGGAGCCAAGGAATGGGAGGCGTCTTAACCTCCCCTCGGGCCGCAGTGCCGACAATCCCGCCCGCCCCCCATACCTCCCCGAGGCCAGGGGTGTTGGGAACGTCGCCTGTTACAAGTCTCGGGCTTTTCCTGCTTTAGGGGTGGGGCCACACAGGCTTTTGGGGTTCTTTTCTTCCGCCTGTAGTGTTTGGCTGAAATAGAGCAATCATCGTGCAGTTTTCTGTCCAGATAGAAAAAGCAGACGTTTCTTGCAGGGTGTGTTTTTTAGGTGGTTGGTTTTTTGTTTTTGTTTTTGTTTTTGCTTTTGGATTTTGTTTTATTTATTTTTAAATTTTCCATCTGTGCCTGCTCATTCTAGGGCGCTGGCTTCTCCAAAGCCAGTCTGGAAGGCATGGAAACCCACAGCCAGGTCCGATAGCCCTCAATAGCTCTGCTCTTCTCCATATTTTATATTACATCTAAAACTAGGCATTTTGGGTGTTCTTAGTGGTGCTGGGGAAAGTACATTTACTCCATTTTCCCAGAAGCACAGGGCCCTAACGCTGCTTTTTCATACGTCATCATAACACAGAAAGGATGTGTAACAGGCTTGGTAGGCCTTTCTACTGTACGGGAATCCATAAGCAATTACTTGGTTTTCTTTTGTTTTGTTTTTTAACTTGAAAAGATAAATCCCTGTCAACAATTTTCTGTTTCCCTGCTTTCAAGATTATGTAAGAAGAAAGAGCCATGGTTTCAGGGAAATGACAATAAAGACGGTTCTGGGAGTTTGTGTGTTTTTACTAAGGTGTGATTAGGATAAGGATATGTACATATTTAAAACATATGGTTACATACAACACACACATACCACTGTAGTATCACCACAATCAAAACTGAACAATCCCTCTTTATTGTTCCCTACCTAGCCTTCACCCCAGGTAACCAGGGTTCAGGCTCTTGCTATGTAACCCAGGCTAGCCTCCAACTCACCATCCTCAGGCTTCAGCTTCCTGGGTGCTGGGATTACAGACTTGCCCTACCATGTCCATCTCACGGATCTGCTTCCTCTCACAAAAATAATTATATATTTAGAGTTTTGTATAACAGTACTAGTAATGATTGACTGGCTTCTTCCACACATGATAACTCACTTGCAATTCATCTGTCTATTGTGTCTATTGATAGTTTTTCTCCCTTGTATGGCTGAATGGGTTTTTTGTTTTGGGTTTTTTTTTGCGGGGGGGGGGGGCGGGTGTCAAGACAGGATTTCACTGTGTAGTTTTGGAGCCTGTCCTGGAACTCACTTTGTAGACCAGGCTGGCCTTGAACTCACAGAGATCTGCCTGGCTCTGTCCTTCGAGTGCTGGAATTAAAGGCGTGCGCCACCACTGCCAGCTTTTTTTTTATTGTAAACATTTATTTAGTGTGTGTGTGTGTGTGTGTGAGAGAGAGAGAGAGAGAGAGAGAGAGAGAGAGAGAGAAAGAGAGAGAGCACATGCCACAGAATGTGTGTGGAGGTCAGAAGACTACTTGAGCCAATTCTTTCCTTCCACTTTGAGGGTTCTGAGGATTGAACTCGGGACATCAAGCTTGGCGGCAAGCACCTTTATCCACTGAGCCGTCTCATTAGCCCTTCTTTCATTTGTTGATGGATGGTCCAGTTCCCAATTTGGGGCTGTTTTAAATAAAGCAGGTTCTAAACATTCACATACAACACTTTGTGTAGTTATATGCTTTTTTTTGGCTGTGGCTAAATGAGTAGGAATAAAATGGTTGAATCATAAAATAAGCACATGTTTAACTTTTTTTTCTGTGTGTATAGGTCAGAGGTTAACATGGAGTGTTTCTCAATCAGTCTCCACCTTACTTTTTTTTTTGGTTTTTCGAGACAGGGTTTCTCTGTGTAGCTTTGCGCCTTTCCTGGAACTCACTTGGTAGCCCAGGCTGGCCTCGAACTC